AAGAAAAGAAAAGAAAAGAAAAGAAAAGAAAAAAAAAGAAAAGAAAAGAAAAGAAAAGAAAAGAAAAGAAAAGAAAAGAAAAGAAAAGAAAAGAAAAGATAAGAAAAGAAAAGAAAGGCGATCCATCATTTGCTCAATAAGTCACATATTATTTTTTACAATATGTTTCAGGGCAAGTACGGCAAGATATAACAAAATCTGAGTGAATTTGGATTGAGAAAAAACTGAAAAAAGAATAGATATAGCACTGATACTATGTTTGATTGTGTTGGAATCTATGATAGGAGGAGCCGATGGGCTCCTGGGAGAAATGTATCTAGCTGTTCTTATGTTCCAGCCAGCTGTAAGTCACACCAGGTTGCCACCGAGAAATTCAGGAAAGAAGAACTCTCCAGGCATGGAATACTTTCTAAGAATTTTTGCCAGGAAAATAAAAATTTCCTAACTAAAAAAAATATAATCCGTTTTTGGCCATAAAAATTATTTTAAAGAAGGAAGGGCGCCACATTTGCTAGTCAGATTGGCTAAAATCCCTTTCCCAGGAAAAAATTCCTACAAGGGCAGTTATTTAACAATCCCCGTCGGCTTTTCCTCTCTATGAGCTATAGTATATATAGTGAATGAAACAGTAAGATATTGAGTATAGAAGTGGTTTTTTTATTTCTAAGCCGCTTTCAACTTCCAACAATTCTCCAGTTTCGATTTCTCTTTTGCGCATTCAGGCTTAGCTTCAATCAAGCATTATTTTTTTTATACGCAGAGTATTTGTATTACAATAGGATCTCTGCTGAATAAAAGAATATCCATGCTAGCTTTCGAGGTGGTTAAGGCTGCACAACTGAAGATCTCGAAACTGGAGTATTTGGCTATTTGAAAGATAGCTTTACTGCAATTACCGGGAAGCCTCGCGCATTTTTTATTGACACTAATTGCATTGCAAAAGAAAGTTTTCAAAGCATTCTGGTATGTAACACCATAATGTTCTTTCGAAGATTTTCGAATTATAGAACATCTAAAACTTTGTATCTTTAAAACAATCAAATTTAATACATGGGCGCCCGGCTGAGATACGGAAATCATTTACATCAAATTTACAAAATTTTGGACACTTACATCATATTTACATCAAATTTACAACGTTTAAAGCGCGCAGTGCATATGATGAAATTACGAGAAATTATAATTAAAAAAAATCAATCAAAAAATAGATAAAAACAACTAAAGAATACCAATAAAAAGAAGGCAAAGATTTATCACATGTGCATGTCAGGATTCGAACCTGATATCACTACAACACCATTGGGTTTGAATCCAAAGTTATAACGAGTTGCGCCACAGGACCACGCTCATTTACATAATAATAGACCACTTGGCACCTTCGCCGAATAGACTAACCCAATTTGACATAATATTTTCGATAGTTGCCTAGTTAGTGCAAGGGGTTATCCAGATCAGAGTCTAGGGGCCGGATAGCTTCTCCCTCACTGGCTTTTTAGTTAGCGCGAAGTTAGGACCAATTATCGGGATAGCATGGAAGAGCCGAAATCTCTAACCGGAATGTAAATCGATTCGACGCCTCAGCTTCACAGATTGTCTCGGGGGAATCGTCCCAACATTTTTCAAATTTTGAGGCACCGGTTCGAATCCCACAAGGGCCTTTTTTCAATTTCTCCTTTTTCTTTGTTTCTTTTTTTTTACCTCTTTTTTCTTTTCTTTTTGTTTTGTTTATTCATTTCGATTTGATTGGTTCAGAGGAGAGAGAGGAATGATAAGTGTTTAAGTTGCACAATTTTATTCAAACATTTTATCAAATAAATAAAGGATAATACATGGGCGCCCGGCTTAGATAGGGATTCTTTTTTTCGAGTGTTGAAAAGRTCTCGCGATCTCACGAATTATCGTAGCGAGATTTTTCAATACAAGAAGATAGAATTCGTATCTCCAAGCGACCATGTAATATTTTGTTTATTTATCATATAATTATATAACTATTAAATACATATTTCTCCATTTCGTGACGTTTATATTTTCACATTCAAGGTTTTTCTATATAGTGGAAGTGAGAGATCTTTTYAACAGGCGAAGATAAAAGCCATATCTCCACGCGCCCATGTAAAAATCCTCTATTTATTCAGTGCATGACAACACGTGCAAATGCAAGAGATCCGTATCAAAGACATGAGTGGAAATAGTTTGAAATCTCACGAGTTTTATCAGCTAAACACATCGCGGAAGTCAACTGCTTGTTTTCATCAAACGCGGATTACATGTCGCTTTGATAAAAATAGATATGATGTCATCTATAGGCGTGTTCTTCAAACACCTGTTTCTAACTTTGACAAGTCTTATCGTGGCATTCCACCTTAGAAACTCGGAGTGAAGGAACGCGCAATACTGTAACATACACTWATCCAACAGCCCAAACAGTGGATTTAATATGACTTCTGGTCTCTCTGTTAGTAGAAATTCTGTTAGTATTAAACAGTTTGTCTACAGTTTTACTCATTCCATAAACATTTTTTTTCGTTTTAATGCGGGAATGATATGTATCTAGACCATGMCATCCATATCGCATAACGTTATACAATCCTAATTTACAATACAATCCTAAAGTTAATGTTGGCTGAATTTGTAAATGCTCAGCCGCAGTTAAGTTTTTCATATGTTATTTTTAAGTACTTTTTGCGTAATCTGTTCGTACAAATTCTTAAAATTTATCAATTCAATTGAAGCGTGAGTTAATAGTCTGAAAACGCATTTTTGGYAAGAATTCAAATCGATGTGCATACCCTACTATGCCACAGCTAGTAACTCAAACGATAGAATACAAGGCATCCATCACTGATCTTCGATAATTTAGATTGGCGGCATAAAATCTGAATGAATTCTCTTCTCATGACCAAAGGAAAGAATGACGTAATGTTACCCGGATCAAGTTCTTCTTCAAGAAATATAGAGACACGGCACACAAGTAAGCTCTAAAGGTTGAATCGAAAACTAAACTTTAATAGTAAAAATTTTGTGCACACTGGGGAAATATTTGTTTCATACAGATCTTTGTAACATACAATGTATGCAGCACCAGTTATTCGCTGTTTGTCTGACACGAGGTGCCACGCGACTGTTGATTTGGCAAACTTCATCATGAAGTTGTTTTGTAGCTTCAATTTGAAAAAAAAATAACAAGTCGAAGTATACAGTGTGTTTTCTGCAGTAATCAATACTATTACATGATACAATTTTCATAGTGTATCAAACTGCACCCTAAACTTGCAGTTGTACCATTTCGGTGATATCTTTTCTCCCTGCCAGAGGCTGCATGCCTTCACACTCCGTCATGCTTGATGCCCTGATTTTTAACAGTCGAAGAACGATACTCCGAAAAAAGTATTAATGTTGAAATAATAAGATACCTTGAGATGATTTAAAATCAAAATTTGAACAGTGACAAGATTCTAAACACTGCTTCGTCTACGTTTGTATATGTTTTATTTTCCGAGCTTTCGGATCGTTCGATCCATCATCAGGGACTAGTGATACAAATGAATTAACTAGCGGTTGAAAAAAACTAAACACATCACGAAAATGCTAAATATAATACAGAGAAAATGCTAAATATAATACAGAGAAATATTAAGTGACAAGATTATTTTTTCGACTGATGTCAAGCTGCATGTATAGCAATCATCAGTACAATAACCAGTCTTGAGTTTAGTTAGTAATTCATAGCACAAGAGAGCTTTTTTAATTTCCATGCTTTTTGTTTTGCTTTTTAAAATTTTCAATATTGATGCAAAGAACGTTTTAACTTTTTTAGCGCTATATTCTAGCAAAGCTCTTATTTAAGTTTATTTAAGAATGTTTCAGTTTATTTTGAAAAAAAGTTGAAGAACACCAGTTCAATAATTCTTTAATTTTTTTCAATTCTTTGTTACTTGAAAACGAGTATTATTATAGAATTCSCATTGGAAACCTTTTCATCAAAAACCGAAATATGAATACGATAAATTAGACTTTTTCTAAGACCGAAAAGGATGGGAATGTTTCCCATCACTACTCATATCATAGAAACTTTCAAAGTTGTGCTAACTWTATTCAATGTATTGAGATAGAGCTKACATGAATTATTGATCAGCTAAATTGATTAACCAAACTCGCCCAAGCAGAGACAGCCTTAAAGTTCAAAACAATTTTATTAGCAAATTAATCAGCAGACACAGTTAAAAATGTCGGAATTCAGAGTGAATCTTCAAATGAATAATTATGATTTTCAGCTGCGKTAGGAAGTTCTACTAAAACAATAACAATACCTTTAAAAACAAGGGTTAGTAGTAGAACTTAAAAAGAAAAACAAATAAAAGAAAATTCATGGATTTTTTTGCCGAAATGACGGTTTTCATTTCTTGTGTTCTCTCTGAGAACACAATCAATTCCTTCTTATCACTATCATGTCGATAACGGTGTGTCCGGAAGTGAGACTGGGCCGCGTTTTCTTTGCGATTTCCTTTTTTTTTCTTAAATCCCTACATAGGTTTTAGGACAATTTACACATCAAGACGWACAGAGCTCTAGTTGACATTTTTGTTTGTTTTTTGTTTTATCGGGCAGACCGCGCGAACGCAGGTCCACCCACTATCAAAAATTATGCACCGCGTACCCGTTGAACGGGATCCACGCAGACACCACCTCGTCTAATTACAGTGCAGCGACAGGGTGGGTCCGGGAGGCTGCCTTCGTGATCACAGCCGTCCTGTGCATTGTTAGTATGAACGCGTTAGCGCTCTACAAGGGTATTTATACCTATAATGTCTTCAAGGTCAACCAATCAGAATTGATCATATCGAGTCAGTGATGCTATGTCCTGCTGAGCTCTAACGATTCCTTTGAAATGCTTTCGTGATAGTTCGCTTTTGTTGTATCGGAATGAAAATGATTTAGCTAGAAATAAGTGTAAAGAAGATAAGTTTAACACCGTAAAAAAGTATGGGAAATAACTTACTTTTTACGGTGTTAAACTTATCTTCTTTACACAACTGTTTCTTTAGAAACACCGACGCAGCTCACACTAGTTTACCGCTAGTTCCCACCATTTAGCTAGAAATAACATTGAATTACAATAGCGATGAATGCAAATGTGTTTTCTGAAAACGTCAAACTTTGTCCACGAAAAGAATTAAAACAAAACTGACAGTATGATTTGCGAACGTTGAAAATTAACTATAAATTTAAAAACACAAGGAAATTCGGACCAGAGYGCTGTCTGTAACTGTCTGAACACTTTAGACATTTGTTTAAATTATCGTAATGTTACAATTTCGCTTGATTTTGAAATTCATCATGATTAGACAAAATTTACGTCTCAAACTCATTGCGCAGAAATTAAAATGTTTTTCAACTGTTTTCAGGCGTTATGTCTGATGAGAAAATTAATTAGATCATGTAGTTTCTTTTTAGTAAGTATTTCAAAAACAACTAGAGACGAACATTTCGATCTGTTTACTAATCAATTATTCACAGTTTTTACAATTTACAGTTTTTATAAAGTTACAAGTCAGGGGCTGGTTGCATGTTGTGCGAAAAATTCATACAAATCAGTATGCGGCGGATAACTTTATGTGTTTGGTAGAATTTCAAACTTGGTACAAGGCCCAAGTTCCAGAGTAAAATCCAGCACTAGCTTGCGTGTAGACCGAATTTTTACCCCGTGAATTTTTACCCAGCATCGATAATTCCGGAATTAAATCCTGACCCTGTTCCAGACTAAAATTTGGTGGCATTTTGGTGTTACTCGTTCAGTATTTGTCACGCTATGTTTTCCGATTGTAGGTGTTTTTTCGAAAATCAGTGTGCGAGGTGCGAAAGGTTGATTAAAGTTATAAATCTTTTTTAAGTCTCTTTCAGTAGTTTAGGTGTGGGATTTTAAACTCTGGATACATAAGGATTTGTGTATGCACGACTGCCACTGAGAAATTACAAGCCCCGGGTTACAAGCTTCAAGCTACTTTTGCATAAAACGTATCCAGACATATTTCTTTATTTGAACTATATATTATAAATCACTAAGCGCCCTATCGAAAAAAGTTCAACACTCACCCACTGAAACATTTAAACAATATGACTCTCCCAATAAACTTGTTCGGTCCACTATTAACAATGATAAATGTCTTAGACAATTTCTATTTTGAATGGAGTTAGTTTTAGTTACATAGCAGTAGGCATATCATGACCACAGGAACCCCAAWGATCAATGAAYAAATCAGTCATATATGTCAGCGGACTACTGTTTGATTGTCAAACAAAATGGCGGGTTTTGGTGATAATTCTCGAGTGAAGGTCTGTATTGAACCGGGAYTTTTACCTATTWTAGGCCATAAATCAGCACACATTATGTATKTAATTGTTTTCTAGGGTGTAACTGTGGTTAAACCGATCGTKTATGGKAATATTTCGCATTATTTTGGCAAGAAACGYGAGTCGGATGGCCATACACATGGCTGGACCGTGTATTTGAGACCGTTCAAAAACGAGGTGAGAATTGCTCTTGAGATTTAATATTAGTGACTGAAGCAACTGAKTTTTATTTTATTTACGTTTTTTAACTGATGAAGAGTTTTTCGTTGCTATTTATAAACTTGTAAACTTTCATGCAAGGGTATTTTTAACTTTGAATAAACTTAATCAAGCTAATCCTTAAGGATTATTTATTATGTATTGTTGAACCATGTAATCKTCAACTCATTTAGTTATCCAGCGTTGACTGTGAAAAATGCAAAATCAAAAAAAAAATAGTGGATGTACTAATATTGATATCATCCAATCTACACTGAGGGCCTGTTCACACTTTGACATAAGCAGAAGCGGAAGAAGTGTATTTTGTATGTGTGAACCGGGGAAAACAGAAGCAGAGACACAAGCAGGTGAAAATGAAAACTTTTCCATTTTCTTCTGCTTCTGTTTCTACTTATGTCGAAATATTATAAGTGTGAACCGGGACATCATAAGCAGAAGAATGTGCTTCTGTCAAGTGTTAAAAAGCTTCTGCTTTGGTTTCTGCTTGAATGTTATAGTGTGAACTGGCCCTGATAATCCATGATTACTGATTACCTTGAAATGGTTTTGGTCTGCATAATATTCAAACATGAATTGGTGCTTGTGGGTTAGTTGTTAGAGCTCACAGTTCACAACTTCCATTTTATCAGTCCAATCTTTGTGAGCAAAGATCATGTATTTTTGAGCATTGTGAACTTTTACTTTTAAAATTTGAGTTTTCTGCTGTTGTATACCTCATGCACAGCCTCCATGCCTTAATGGCTCGGAACGCAGCTATATAACATATACATAAATTACTTGTAAATATATTTAATATGTATATTTTCCTTCTTTTTATTTGTAAATAATCTCTGAAAAACCTTTCTTAAGGATGTGATTAATAAAGTTTACTTATTTATATAAATATTCACTCTCCTGATGATGCTTGTGTCCAGGGAAAGCTTGAGAAAAATAAAAGCAACAACCGCCTTTAGCTTGTGGTAATATTTCTCATCAGATTATGTTATTGTAGGATATGTCAAGTTATGTCAAGAAGGTTCATTTCAAGCTTCATGAAAGCTATCCCAATCCACTTCGAGGTATGTTATTGATTTGAGCAACAGAATATCCAGTAAACAGAGACATTAAACAATAGACATTACTCATGTGTTCCTTCATTTATGTTTAGTTTCTTTTTTTTCCATTTTTTCTTATTTCTTTTTTTCTGTTTTCATTTTTTACTTCTCTATCTTCATGTTTTTCTTCATTGTTTTCTGCTTAATCCTTTCCCTAGTAATTTTTTTTCTTATTTGTAGTTGTGACAAAGCCACCTTATGAAGTCAATGAATCAGGATGGGGAGAGTTTGAAATCACTATTAAGATTTTCTTTATGGATCCACAAGAAAGACCAGTAAGTTGATATACTAATCATGTTACAAGATTGTCAAACAACTTGAACGAGACATGAAAACCTTTTCTTTTTTATGGAAATTGTTGAGGTGAAATCCTATGAACYTAGACAACCAGTAAACATGCCACGTGAATGCTCGAAATTGCATACAGAACAAAACAATCAAGAGTGGAAGAAATGAAGTCCACTAATGATAGTTTACCATGCCATCAGTGATAGAAAGYGTGCAGTGATAGATACCTGTGAATAATTGTCTGTAGGTGTGAAAGAACATTTTTATTAATATTGCACACACTCCAGTACTCTACCTTTCAAGATGGCACAATGAACTGAGAAGGAAAATACAGTAATGTATACACCTTATTAACGTCAGAAGGTATTGTGTTCTCCGCACTTGATGCCAAATGTTTTCTTTTGAATTCCTGTATTTCAAAATTTTATCAAAAGAATAAATTTGACGTCAAGTGTGGAGAAMACAATACCTTGGGAATTGTTAAAAGGGAGTATAGAGTAGAGAAGCTACAATGATGTAGATGTTACAATGGTGCCAGAAATAAATTGTGTTTTGATTTGCAGAAATCATTCTCATTTTGATAATCATACACTCTCAGTATACTAATTAGAAATAAGTACTGTAATGAAGCAACTGAGAGCTAACTCATTGCAGCCATCTTTTTTTAACTTACAAGTCATACAGAGTTAAAAGAATTATGTTAATACGATGATGGTGTTATTGCAGGTCACACTGTACCACCTTCTGAAGCTTTTCCAGACAGAGTCAGCTTTAGCATCTGGTAAAAAACAACTAGTGGCAGAGTTTTATGATGAAATTGTAAGTATGGTGCTGTATGGTATGTTTGTTGGATTTGATTAAAACAAAATGTATCTGTTTCTGTTGCTATCACTTCCGTTTTTGTTATGAACGTTTTATTCTCTCTTGTCCATTTTCTCCCACTTTCTTTCTCACTTAGTTGTCATATCTTCTTTTTTTTCAACCTCCTTTCATCCTTATTCCTTCTCTCCCCTTCCCTCCCTCCCCCTTTCCTCCCTCCCTCACATTTCATCTCTCCCTCCCCTTTCCTCCCCGCTCCCTCACGTTTCGTCTCTCCCTCCCCCTTTCCTCC